GGGCACAGGGTGCCCAGAGAGGTGGTGGCAGCCCCATCCCTGGGATTTTTTCAGGCCAGGCTGGATGGGGCTCTGAGCAGCCTGATCTAGTGGGGATGTCCCTGCCCATGGCGGGGAGTTGGAACTAGATGATCTTTAAGGTCCCTTCCAACCCTGACAATTCTATGATTCTATTCTAGGGTCTGGGGCAGGGCGCTTATATAGGAAGAAAGAGTGAAAGTACTTGGTTGATTATTTTTATCTCCTCCAGGCCTCTCGACACAGCCCGTCTGGCGCAAGCTGTGGGACGACGTGATGAAAACCCGGCCGCCCAACTCGGAGGTGAGGGGACGCCACCGGTGGGAGAGGGGGCACGACGCAGGCGCCCTGTTTCTGCCGTCGTCTGCAAGGTTTCAGTTCTGAGCTTGTCGGTGCTGCCAGCTGCCTCCCAAGCGATTGCTGTTGCTTGTTCATAAGTGTTTGTAGGGCTCTGTGCCAAGGCACAACGCTGGTAGTACAGTCATTTGGAGAAACGTGGTTTGTAAAAGGAGCCGGGGCAAACAGCCGCACCTTCCATCTCACAAGAGTTTGTCAAAAGAGTAAATCCTGTCTGAAGAGATGTAATTCTTAGGGAAACGGGATAAAAACAGTATCTTTTATCATGCTTACACCTACGCTGGCAAAAAAAAAAAGAGGTGCTGATGTCTTAGAAAGCACTAGAAAAAGAGAAGACAGTGAGTTTGGAAGCATGTGGTTGGTTTTTTTACGTAGGAAAACCGACATTGATTGAGCATCGCAAAAGAATCAGCTTAATCGCAGCCTGTAAGCAGGTGCTTGGGAAGAAGATTCCTGATGACCTGGGTTTTAATAGGCAAAACCACAGCCTAGCTTCAAACCACTGAATATGTTTAAAACTAGCTCAGAAGCAGGATGGAGAGGGATGAGAGTAACTCTGGTTTTGAACAGATACACAGAGGAAGGATGTTGAGAACAAGGAACTTCTTCTTGGTTATGCAAGCAGTAGTTTCTTTGAACGCTGCATTTACTGGCTTAGCAGATAGCAACAATTTTAGCTTTAAAAGAACAGAGAAAATCGTGGCTGACTTCTTGTTAACATGGCCTTGTCTTTTAATTGCAGAATATAACCTGTTGGAGGAAGAAGTTCCTCGAAACGTTCTTCTCAAATGTTCTTCACGGTGTCCTGGATGTTTCGTCTGACTGGCGTCTCAATGATGATCACTTCTCGCCGCTGCTCCACAGCTCCCCGCACGTTTCCCAGCTCACCCTCTGCAACATGCTGCAGGGCGCAGTGGAGCTCACTGCTGAGCACAACCAGCAAGTGCTTGAGAACCTGGCTGGCTCTCTGCGGATCCTGAAGTTCCAGCACCTCCTCTCCTCCGACCAGTCCATCAGGCGTTCGCTGGTTTTACTTCTTCACCGGCTGATTCACCATGGCTCTGTCAGCCAGGTGTCCATGTATTCCTGGCCTGTTCCCGACACGGTTCTTCTTGTTCTCATTTTGAGCATGAGCGCTGGGTTTTGGCGCTCGGGAAATGCCCTTGCCTACCACAGCAGCCCGTGTGGCCTTTGCAGGGCGGAGGACAAAGCCCAAAGCCAGGAGCAGGCACAAGAGCAAGCAGTGAGGAGGGGCCAATACAGTAAGAGGGAGTGGGGTGACAGTGAGCACCAGAAGGGATCCTCCAGCACCCCAGAGGAGGAGGACGCGGAGGTGAATGGCTGCAGGGCTGACACTCACCTGAACTCTGAGCTCTCTGGACCGAGAAGCCCTCCTCTGCGACACCAGGTGTGTGAGGACATGAGCAGCGAGGTGCCCTGCGACGACACCAGCACTCAGGAAGGGTCTTCTTGTTGCGTCTCAGACCAGCTGTCCTGTCACCCCGTTCTTCGAAAGATGCGCAGACGGATGAAGTCAGCAGCAGGGAAGAAACGTCGCTGCCTCAGACGAAGCAGCGGACAATATGCTGACCCAGAGGACCTGTATGATTTTGTTTTTACTGTTGCTAGAGAGAATAATTCAGGGTTACTCAACAATAACAGCACCACGGAGGAAGAAACCGTGGAAAACTGGACTAGTCCCTCCCCAGGATCTCCGTGTAAGAGATGTAAGAAAAGAGGAGGGTCTGCTGGGATCTTTTCTCCGAAAGTTCCTCATCGCTTCCGAAGTGTGTCCACGCTGGAATTGTTCTCCATTCCTTTGACTGGGGAGACATGCCGGACTCTGAGTAACCTGCTGAGCTCCTGGGTGTCTTTAGAAAACTTGGTTCTGTCTTACAATGGTTAGTGGTGTGAATGGGTTGCTTCATTCCAGCCTCGGTTCTAAAGGTCTGACTTACTGCTGACATTTATCCTGATTTTATTTTTGTTGGAACGGGCATTGTGCAAATATCGGTGCCCAACCTTGAGAATGGCACCAGGAGAGATGTTTAAGGAGTGTTTGGATGTGTTTGAGGGAGAGCGTGGGGCCTCTGGCCTTGTGCAAAGGGAAGAGCCAGATCTCCATCTCCCACGTACACAGTTTAGCTTAAGAACGTGTGGGATAAAGCAGGCTGTGAGTTTCATCTTTGACCTGGGGTGCTCGGCCATCGGTGCAGCTCCAGCTGCGCATGCGTCGGTGTCCACGCGGGCACAGCTAACACCTTTCTGTACAAATGCTGTTCCAGGCCTGGGTGCCAACATCTTCTGCGTCCTCGCTGGGCTCCGGGCCCTGGCCCATCACCCGGACTGCCGCCTCCGCGTGGTGCGCGTGAGCGACGTCTTCTCCCACGTGCCGTGCATGGAGCTCGTTTGCTGCATCCTGAGCGCCTTTCCCCAGCTCCACACCCTCTCAGTCAGCTTCGACCTCAAAAACCAGCTGGAGGGGAACAGGCCGGAGGGGAATCCGGGCTGCAGTAAGGTAGAAATCCCAGGTAGGAATCATCATCATCATTCGGAGTGATTACCAGGATGTGGCAGGCAGATAGAGTCGTAAAAACTCAGCACACAGATTTGAACCCCGCACTGTCACAGGATGTGTAATTAAGCAATTAGAGCTTCACCTTTTGGATTTGGATGGTGCTGCAGTTAGTAATTGCCGCTCTGTGACGTGCTCTGTGCAGCTTTGAGTCTCGGACAAATCGTTTTATGGCTGTGTGCTAACCCGCCGGAACAGCAGCTTAACAGACGGCCGGTCATAACCCACTAGCGCTGACCCCACGCAGCCCACGGGGAGCACGTCCCACCACGTCTGTGCATTGGGTGGGAGCTTCTGCCTTGTCCATCCTGTTGACTAAGCCTTAGACTGACTCTCAAGTAGAGGGAAAGCATCTCTTGATCATTGCAATGCTACAGGTGGTGGCAAAGCACTGCCCAAGCCTCTGGATTACAGTCTGGGAGCTAGAGGAGCACGTTCTCAGCTTGCTGGTCTCTCATCAAGGGTGATAAGCTCTTCAATGACCAGAGAAATGGTGACCAAAGCCCGAGTGAGTACAGAGCAGGGAGAATGAGGAGCTGTGATTTGGTAAGACACTGACTGGTTTGTGCGTAAAGTGTGACCTTTTTCTCAAGTATTGTTTCACTGTCAGAACGGAGTAGAAATTAGTGGTCCTGTTGCCTGGTAGGAGTCCTGAAACGAGCCTTAAGTGATTTACATTACCAGAGAGCTGAGGTGCACGGAGCACTCACTTGCTCTGGGACCTAGGTGTGTTGAAGACGGGTGCTCCAGGCCAAGTTCTTCCATTGTTGTTTGTTTTTTCTTCCCTCAGAGAGCTGCCTGGAGCAGCTAGAGATCCGATTCCCCAGGGAACCCCTGCACACTGCCTTCCTGCTGCCAGTGCTCAAGGCCTCCAAGTCCCTCCAGCAGCTGTCTCTCGACAGCGCCGCGCTGCCCTCTTCTCAGGAGCTTGGGCTCCTTTTGGAGGCGCTCAAAGGTACGCTGCTAACCTGGCTGTAGCATCACTGTGACAAACGGAGTAGCTTCCTTCCTGTGATCTTTTGTCCTCTGGCATAAAGTCAGCATAGGTGGGTCCATTTCTTCGGTGTGGACATCCTTGAAGTCTCCCAAGAGAAAGAAGTGGGTATCAGCCATCCCACCTTCTGTGCTGAGCATGTGAATGATCCTGCACAGCAGGTTGTTTCCTTTTTCATTACTCACAACCCAGCACAAATTATCCATAGTCCAGTTCAGTTTCTAGGTATTAGCTGGTAGCTGGGTCAGTCTTTTTATCCCAAGCGCATACAGTATTTTACCTGAGAACGTGCTTTGCTTTTAGAGTGTAATCCAAATTTGAAGAAACTGAGCTTTCATGATGTGAACCTGGCTGAGCACCAGAAAGAAGTTCTGCTTTTGCTTCAGGACCCCATCCTGCAAGGTACAGCAAACCCCTGGATGCTGGTGCCTGGGGAGGCGCTGCAGCCGGCAGCTTTGGGCTGGCTGGTATTCACATGGTGATTTTTGGATGCGTAAGGTTTAGTCAGATGTTGGTGGGGCAGATCCACAGCTCGTCTCACTTTTAGTACCCTTGGCAGGGCAGAGAGGAGCAGCTGCAAAGCTGGCATGCTCTGCCAAGAACTCATATTCTTAGCTATAAAACAAAGGGGTTTTAACCTGCAGAGCGCATCAGCCTTTAACTGGGTCAGCTGGCAAAGCCACTTCCCTGGGTGTGATCTCTGCTCCCTTCCTGTGGTGGCGTGGCTGTGCTGTTGTATGCAATCCGCTGCTGGGCAGACTTTGTTCTTGCATACAGATGAGGGGCTGGAGCTGTCTGTAGGATGCAATTATGGAATAATGAAGCGTGCAGGGAGTGCTAACATGTGCTGTCAACCCATTTCTTCCATAGAAGTCACGTTTTCCTTCTGCCGGCTGTTCGAAAGCTCTACTACTGAGTTTTTGTTGGAAATAATCAATGCAGTGAAAAGAAATTCATCTTTGAAGAGCCTCAAACTGCCTGGGAATCGCCTTGGTGCGTACAGTGAATGTTGCTGTGGGGCTTTGACCTTACACCAGCTCTCTGGGAGATACCCTCAGGGTTGGAGTTAGGACTGTTGCCAGCTGGTGACCTCTGTGCTGAGCTTAACACATGTACAAGTGGATTTAATTCACAAAATAAGAAGCACTGAGTTAATTTTTTTAAAGGCAGAATTTTAGTTATATTCAGTAACGTACCAAGAGCCCAGGTGCTGTGCAGGCATTATGGTTGAATTTCTCTGCAGCAAAGGCAAGTGTCAGCGGGACTCCAGATTTGACTGAACACTAATCTGTTTCAGGCTCTTTAGCAGGAACAGATCCAGCAGCAGATGCACTGCCTCTCATCTAGAGGCACAGATTTTGCCCAAGTTTGGGGATTTTGTTCCTTAAAAGCTGTTGGCAGACACTGGAGGGATATAGGGATAAGGAAGGGTTTGTGCCAAAGAACTGGAACTGATTTTATAGAAATGATGGGCTTTTTAGATCACAGGCCAATTAGAAGTGTCTGGAAAACGAGTTCCAGGTAAATCCAGAATATTGTTTTCTGTTCTTTTAATGAAGTGAAATAAGAAATCTTGGGATGACCTGACGTACACCTGATTTCTGAGGTTTGAGTTCAACGCTGTGCTATTGGCCATTTTTAAAACAAAGCTGCCTATTGACCTCTCAGACAAACCCAGGATTTTTCTAGTGAAACAGACTGCCCTATCAGATGTTTCCATTGCCTCCAACACTGCTCAGCAGGGTGAATCCGCTTTAGGCCACTGAGGGGGACAAGCTGAGGGAGACCGCAAAGATGAGCCCTTTGTGCTGCATGCATGTGCTTACGGTCTCCTTTCTGCACTAGTATCTCTGCCCTGTGGCCACTTAAAAGATTTAAGACAGTGCCTGTTTTGTGTGTAACACCTGCATTTCTCCCCTCTTAGGGAACCACAGGCTGGTTGCCCTTGCAGACATCTTCTCTGAAGATTCTTCCTCTTCTCTTTGCCAGCTGGATGTCAGGTATTACGCTGCTTCCAAACGCACTGAGTTTCTTGTGTCGGGAGGCAGGAAAATCCTGAGTATGGTTTTGCTTCTTCCTCTAAGCCAAATAAAAGCTTAGAGAAACGCTGCAGTAGGCCCATACAACCTCAGGCATCTCTGGAGTATCTCACCATTCTGATTCTAAATGAATCCAGGTCCATCTTAAAAGCAGCTTTGGTTTGCTGCTGCAAGCCCGTCCTGCGCTGTAGGTGAGAACATCCCTACGTACATTTACTTGTAGGCATTAGCATGAATCAGTTCTGTTCCCACTGTCCTGGAAGAGGGAAGGAATGAATTGTCCCCATCAGATCCTGTGAACGCCTCTGCATTCATTTTGTTATCTTTGTTCTTTAACCTGAGCTGCTGCTCTCTTCTTGAGCCTGAATGGCCATAAAGGTAGGCAGTAACCTCCATGAAGCACGTGCAAGGTGGCATTTTTACAATACTAATTAATTTTTTTGCTTGATTACTTTTTTCTCTCCTTTACATCCTAAGGGCTCAGGTTGCTCAGAGCACACACGCTTGACAATTTATTTAACCATGACCACTTCTTCAGCAGCTTCAAATCCTGATCGTTACTGTGCCTCTCAGAAGATTAAGTCCAGCGTGCAACTTCATACTTATTTACCCATCTTTGCAGGGGAAATGACCTTTTAATCACCTAGAAACACCAGGACTTCCGATTTTCTCACAAGGGAGAGAGGAATGATCATTTACTGCTGAGGCTTTTAGAGGGACCTGTAGGTTGGGTCAGGCAGTTGACAGCTGAGACTGAAGTGGTCCTGGCAGTGCCACAACCAAGTCCAGTCAGGTCAGCAGGGAGGAGGCC